CAAAAAATCACCAAAAACCAGTGAGCGGAACAACTTCCACGAAAATCTAACTTTGCGCCCTTTGCACCCTCTTGACACCCTACTAAAGGTCAACAAATATTACTAATATTCAGTAGACGAGGGCTGTACTTATCCAGATTCTCTTTACCGTAGGTTATGTTGTGAGGCTGGGCTTTCAGTGGCCAAAAAAAAAAAAAAAAAAAAGAACAAAAAGATAAGTTTTCGGCCCATTTCATCACAAAATTATTACCTGATCATCACCGAAAATTATAATCGTTGTCCTTGGCCATAATTGGAATCTCATGGAAAATTTCAAAGCGATCAGGGCTATATTTCCGCCCTATAGTGTTGTAATGTAATGTCTGAATACGTAAGCACCTGTAAATATTTAAATGTAACTCCCACATCTGAGTACATACGGCCATGTAATTGGTATCAATTTAAAGGTCAACCATTCCTCTTGAACATACTATCAACTTCTCGGGTCTATGTCCTTCAGGGGCAGATATATACGCCATAGAATACAAATTTTGCCATTTTTCACACAAAAGTCAGGGTCCATTTGACCCGCTAAATATTGACCGATCTTTATCAAAACAGGCATGCTTATTCTCTGGCCCTATCCCCTTCTCAGGGTCCATTTGACCCGTTAAATATTGACCGATCTTTATCAAAACAGGCATGTTTATTCTCTGGCCCGATCCCCTTCTCCATGCAAAAATTCGAGGTGTTTGGGTCATAATTGCGGCCTCCGGAGGGACAAGAAAAACCGACATAAATAAAGTTTTTGGTCCATTTTAACCCCTAAATATTAACCGATCTTTACCAACAATAGGGATCTTCATTGGCCAGAACCCATTCTACATGCAAAATTTCGTGAAGATTGGTCCATAACTGTGACATGTATGGTGTTTACAAATTATAATGGACAGATGGACGGACGGACGGACACACATGACTAGATCGACTCAGCTAGTCGAGATATGACGATCGGTATACTTAAAGGTGGATCTACGACCAATATTTCGGGGCGTTACAAACTTCTTGGGGTTGCAAAAAAAGCTATAATACCCTGACAACATAGTTGTGTACGGTATAAAACTATTTTTAAACTCAAATATTTTTTAATCCAAATTTAGCAAAAACATATTTTTTTAATCCACGCCTATAAATATTTCTTAAAATAATTTTTTTTATATAAATAAACCTTCATTTTTTATTTCAAATTATTATTATTAATCCATGCATAGAAATAGCGCCTAAAAATATTGTCCCATGATATTTATTTGTTTGTCATACGCGTGTGTGTTGGTGGTGTGCATGCAAAGCACTAATTTAAAGCTGTTAAAGTATGGTCAGGAAATTTGTTTCCCGGGGCTAAATGGCCTCGCAAAAAAAAAAAAAAAAAATATTGCCTCTTAATTATACTTGATGTAATTAGTTGATATAGAATGACATATTTTTATATTGAAATTAAAGCCCATTAACATTTTTATTGCTAGGTGTCACGAATGAAAATTTCAGGATACAGTTAAGGATATCACAACAATACCAATAAAAGTTCGGTTCAAACTACCATTTTCATTTAATATGTTCAATATTAGACCTATGATGCTCTTTTTCATTGTTCTGGGTGAAGGATGTCCGAAAGGATACATTCCCTATGTTTATTATCATCCGCATGCAAATTGCTATTTACACCAACTGCTGCTACTGCAAAAATGTTCGAAGCAAACAAACGAACAAACAAAAGGAACAACAAAATTGCCTCGTTTTTAAATTGCAAACAAACAAAAAACGAGAAGATGAAAAAAAAACTCAAAATGAGATGCAAGCAAAATTTTTGCAGATATTTTGATGGTCGTAATGATGATGACGGCCATGGTGATGACGGACGACGGTACATGGCGACGGCAATGGCGCTGGCGATAATCACCGAAAATCACAAATAAAGCAATGCACATAAAAACGAGAGGGTAATTAAAAATGCATAGAGAAATGGTAACGCCCATTAATTGGCGACCAAGTCAGCAAAAATTCAAAATTGAAGCACCGGGCAGGCAATTCACATACAAACACACACCCGCACGCAAAGAGGGTGGTAGGCTGTCCAAAAGCTAAGGCAAATAAGACATGTTGGTATGTAGTTGTGTGTGTGTGTGTGATGCAATGATGGCCAGACAATATTTGATGAACTGTAAATTGGTATTCATCAGTGGCAGTAGAGTTGTCTTTATGGAGGATTTTGGACGAAAAAAGGAGATTTTTGAATTTATCAAAAAAGAAACAAATAAAATGTTAGTAAAAATTTAAAAATATTTTTTAAGGACTATCAACAGGCGATGATTTTTTAAAATTAATTTTTCAATGTCTATAAACGTTTCTATATTTATTTATAGTAGTGGATAAAATAAATTTTTAAGGTTGGATTTTTGAATATATATTTTTTTAGACCAACTTAAAGGCGTGGACTTTTAAAATATTTTTTCAAAGCCTATTTTTCAAGGCCTATTTATAGGCGTGGATTTTTTCAAAGCCTATTTTTCAAGGCCTATTTATAGGCGTGGATTTTTTCAAAGCCTATTTTTTAAGGCCTATTTATAGGCGTGGATTTTTTCAAAGCCTATTTTTCAAGGCCTATTTATAGGCGTGGATTTTTTCAAAGTCTATTTTTCAAGGCCTATTTATAGGCGTGGATTTTTTCCAAGCCTATTTTTCAAGGCCTATTTATAGGCGTGGATTTTTTCAAAGCCTATTTTTCAAGGCCTATTTATAGGCGTGGATTTTTTCAAAATATTGTTTCAAAGCTTATTTATCAAGGCCTATTTATAGGCGTGGATTTTTTCAAAGCCTATTTATCAAGGCCTATTCATAGGCGTGGATTTTTTCAAAATATTTTTCAAAATATTTTTTCAAAGCCTATTTTTCAAGGCGTGGATTTTTTCAATGCCTATATAGGCATGGATTTTTATACCCTACAGAACTATGTTGTCAGGGTAAGCATTCATGTTTTGATAAAGATCGATCAATATTTAGCGGGTCAAATGGTCAGGGTCCATTTGTGTGGACCCAAATGGTCAGGGTCCATTTGGCCTTTAAATTGATACAAATTATATTGTCCTATGTACTCGGATGTGGGACATACAATTAATTACTTACAGGTGCTTACGTACTGATATATTATTTAGTAACCCGTTACCTCGCTGAAGGCGGAAATATAGCGCTGATCACTTTAAAATTTTCCAAGAAGACCATAACTGGGTCAAGGATCACATAAAATATGTGGAATGAGGTGGACCGAAAATTTAATTTTTTGTGTTTCTTCGAGTCGATCTTTGGGCCACAAGCCAAACATCTCAACACAACCCACGGTGAAGGGAATCTCGATAAGTAATTAGCAAGGCTGTAATGAACATTGGGAATATTCGGAAAATATATCAGTGTAAGGAAGAGGTGCTGTTGATCTCTAATCGGTCAAGAGAGTGCAAATACCACGAAATATTGCCCAGGCTTGGTCGCTCCAGATGCCGCAATTATGGCCCGAACATCGCGATTTTTAACATGGAGAAGGGGATTGGGCCAAAGAATAACCATGGCTGTTTTGATAAAGATCGGTCAATATTTAGCGAGTCAAATGGACTCTGACTTTTGAGGAGTGTTGATCTTAAAATTGGTACCAATTATATTGTCCTATGTACTCCGATGTGGGAGTTACACTTAAAATTTACCGATGCTTACGTATTCATATATTATTTAGTAGCCCATTACCACACTGGAGGGCGGAAATATAGCGCTGATCGCTTTGAAATGTTTTAGTTATGGTCAAGGACAACGCCAAAAATTTTCGGTGATGATCAGATAATAATTTAGGGATGAAGTGGGCCGAAAACTTATTTTTTTGTGTGTGTGTGTGTTTTTTTTTTTTTTTTTTTTTTTTTTGAGTCGATCTATAGTCCACAATTATAAGCCGTGCATCACAACACAACCCACGGTGAAGTAGTTTGTAGGACTATACTGAATATAAGTAATATTCGAAAATATGCCAGTGTGAGGAAGAGGTGCTGTTGACCTCTAATCAGATAAGAGGATGCAACTATTACGAAATATTGGCCAGGCTCGAAAAAAATAAACCGTAGAAAATTAGAGTTCCGTGGTATACTGTCCGTTATTGTTTTTTTAAAAATAATTTGTTATACTCAATACTTTCCAGAATTTTTATATAAAACCGAATGTGGACCCTTATAGGCATTTTTGGTTTTGTATTACAAATTTCTTCTGTTATGGCAACCCTATTCGTCCATTATCAATTACAGCAGCTATGGTATTTGATTAACTGTGGAGTAATTGCTTCATTTGCAAATGAAGGAATTTGTGAGTGTGTATGGGTTGGGGAGGGTGTGGAAAACGAGAAGCATCATAGCATAGGTGTGGTGGGAAGACAGTTTATAATGCTATAGAAATTTTACAACATGCGGTATATAATCTCCTGAAATATTTAAATTCAGCAGTAGTTTGACTGGAACAACTCTTCAGACAGGGCTAGACAAAGTGGCTCACAAAGGAGCTAAGGAAGGAAGGACGGGCGGACGAAAGGACATCATACATATGCTTTGAACTACATACGTAGATAGCAAAACATGGATAAAGTGTGTGTATAAATTGAAATTGAAACACGAGTAGTTACATTAATTACACTAATTAAACAAAATTTGTGTGTGTGCACATATTCATCAACATCAACATCCTTTTTTCTTTTCCTCTCTTGCCACTTGGCCATCCAGCAGCCTGGAGAACATCATTTACAGGATACGAATTTGCAAACATCTGATGATCCACATGTTTTATGTCGTTGTCGAATAGAGAACCCTAAGAGAAGACATCGAGGACGGGGAGAACGACAACGACATTGGCAAAGGATTACAAGTTCAACAAAACTCCTTTTCCGACTGGCAAAAGTTTTACTTTTAATTACTTTGTGCTCGTCATTAGTGCCGGGCGGCATGACAAAACGTGCACGTAAATCATCACATGGCAAACATTTAATCATCCATGTGCCCCTGAAGATACGTACCCATCATCATATGCATACCGTGTACACTCATGTTCAGGGTGGCGGAGGTGGTGGTGGCAAGCATGGTAATGATGGAGGAGGAGGAGGTGGTGGTGGTCGGGATAGCTCCAAAGGTGCCACCAAACAGACAATCTACAAAATAATGGGTTATTCGACTCATCATACAAGTGCTGGACCAGTTGTTGGAGGTGGTGGTACTGCTGGTCGTGGATTTGGCCATGGTTATGGCCACAGTCACAGGCAAGGTCACCGTCACCATCATGGTAATCGGGGAGGAGGTGGTGTAGATTATGGTGAAATTAATTACGATGATTATACAAATACGAATTGTGGCAGTGCGGTTGGTGGTGGAGGTGGTGGCGGAGATGGCGTTGATGACTCTCTCGCCCATGGCGATATGATATTTAATCATTATTCCCGTCAAGATGAAGATGATTATCCCGACTTGGAAGAACTAATTGAGGATGAACGTGAACGTGACGATGAATGGGAGGAATAGCAATTACTGCCAATAGAGGTTTATTGATTTTTGTACTTACTCTAGTGATTAGTATACGAGGGATTGTAATAATAGTTACCTAGAAAGAGAAAAATAAAAAATATATATTTAATAAAAATAAAAAGAGATTGAAAATATTTTTGCAATATTAAATAGACGGGTGAATAAAAAATATATAAAATTTTTCTTTGAAATATTTTCTTAAAGACTACATAAAGGCGTGGATTTTTATACAATACACAACTATGTTGTCAGGGTATTATAGCTTTGTGCAGCCGCAAGAGTTTGTAACACCGCGAAATTTTGGTCCTAGACCCACTTTTAAGTATACCGATCATATCATATCTCGACTAGCTGAGTCGATCTAGACATGTATGTCCGTCCGTCCGTCTGTCCATTATAATTTGTAAACACGATACAGGCCACAATTATGGACCAATCTTCACGAAATTTTGCATGTAGGAAGGGTTTGGCCCAATGAAGATCCCTATTGTTTTTGGTAAATATCGGTTAATATTTAGGGGATGAAATGGACCTAATACTTAATTTTTGTCGGTTTTTCTGGTCGCTCCAGAGACCGCAATTATGGCCCAAACATCTCGAATTTTTACATGGAGAAGGGGATTGGGCCAAAGAACAAGTAAGCCTGTTTTGATAAAGATTGGTCAATATTTAGCGGGTCAAATGGACCCTGACTTTTGTGTGAAAAATGACAAATTTTATATTCTACAGCGTATATTTTTACTTCTGATGGACATAGATCCGAGAAGCTGATAGTATATCCAAGAGGACTGGTTGACATTTAAATGGATACCAATTGTATTATTGAACATGTAATTAGAAGAATTGTACTGAATTTTAGTAATATTCGGAAAATATGTCAGTGTAAGGAAGAGGTGCTGTTGATCTCTAATCGGGAAAGAGGGTGCAACAATGACGAAATATTACCCAGGCTCGAAATAACAATCAGCAAAAAGATAGAGTTCTGTGGTAGTTGTGTAGGGTATCGTATGGTCGGCCCCGTCTGACTATACTGCTCCGCTCACTGGTTTAAAAATATTTTTTCAGTGACTATCAACGATGTTGCTATTAAAAAAAAAACATTTTTTCAAATCCTATTTATAGAGTATTATAGCTTAGTGCAGCACCAAGTGTTTGTAACGCCGCGAAATATTGGCCCTACGCCCACCATTAAGTATACTGATATATACCGATATCTCGACTAGCAGAATCGATCTAGAAATATGTGTCCGTCTTTACGTCTGTTCATATAAATTGTAAACACGATACAGACTACAGTTATGGAGAAATCTTCACGAAATTTTGGATGTAGGATGGGTTCTGGCCAATGAAGACCACTATTGTTTTTGGTAAAGATCGGTTAACATTTAGGCGATGTAGTGGACCAAATACTTAATTTTGTCGGTTTTTTCTGGTCGCTCCAAAGGCAGCAAATTATGGCCCGAACATCGAAAGTTTATATGGAGAACGGGATCGGGTCAAAGAATAAGCATACCTATCTTGATAATGATTGGTCAATATTTAGCGGGCAAATGTACCCTGTCTTTTGTGTGAAAAAGTGACAAAAGTTGTATCCTACGGCGTATATATTTAGGATATATACCCGATAAGTTGATAGTATATCCAAGAGGAGTGCTTGACCTTTAAATTGATACCAATTATATTGTCATATGTACTCGGATGTGGGAATTACAAGTAAATATTTACAGGAGCTTTCGTATTCAGATATTATTTTGTAACACATTACCACACTGGAGGGCGGAATATAGAGCTGATCTCTTTGAAAATTTCCATGGTGATCCAGGTATGGTCAAGGACAACGCCTACAATTATCGGTGATGATCAGATATTAATATTGGGACAAAGTGGGCCGAATACTTATTTTTTTGTGTTTTTTTTGAGTCGATTTATAGGCTAACAACAACACAACCCACGGTGAAGGGAATCGGGACAAGTAATTAGAAGAGCTGTACAAAATATTAGTAATATTTGTTGTTATGGACCAATCTTCACGAAATTTTTCATGTAGGATGGGTTCTGGCCCATGAAGACCCTATTGTTTTTGGTAAAGATGCGTTAATATTTAGGGGATGAAATGGATCAAATAATAAATTTTTGTCCTTTTTTCATTTCGCTTCAGAGGCCGCAATTATGACCCAAACATCGCGAATTTTTACATTGAGAAGGGGATAGGGTCAAAGAATAAGCATGGCTGTTTTGAAAAAGAATGTTCAATATTTAGCGGGTCAAATGGACACGGACTTTTGTGTGGAAAATGAAAAAAAAAAAAAATTATTCTAAAGCGTATATATTTACCACTGAAGGACATAGACCCGAGCAGTTGATAGTATATCCTTTCAATTGATACCAATTATATTGTCGGATGTGGGAGTTACATTTAAATATTTACAGGTGCTTACGTATTCATATTAGGGGGCGAAAATATAGCGCGGATTGCTTTGAAAATGTCTATGAGGGTCCAGGTATGGTCAAGGACACCGCCTATAATTTTCGGTGATGATCAGATAATAATTTTGTGATGAAGTGCACCGAAAACATAATTTTGTGTGTTTTTTCGAGTCGATCTATATGCCACAGTTGAAAGTCGAACATCACAACGCAACACACGGTGAAGGGCTGTACTGAATATAAGTAATATTTGTTGACCTCTAGTCGGCCAAGAGGGTGCAAATATTGCGAAATATTGCCCAAGCTAAGGATATAAAACTACACAAAGTTCGATTTTCGTGGAAGTTGTGTAGGTTATCATATGATCGGCCCCATCCGACTATACTGATCCACTCACTGGTTTTTTTAAATATATTATTCCAAATAATTTCTTTCTTTGAAAGCACTGTGCATAATTATCCTCAGTTCCCTAATCCGCTACTAATTTCTTAATTATTTATTAGTAACCTTTCCATTATCAATTACTCTAATTTTTTATTAAGATCACGTTTACATTTCGGGAAACGTCAATAATAATTATATCCTTTTCTTTGCTATAGCTTAAGTCAAATCACGTTTGGCTTCCCTCCATCTACTAATAGCCAGAATCAATTATTGCAAGATTTACTTTAGTGTTTTCTTATAAATATTTTATAAAATGTTTTCTTCTACTTTGAAGTGCATTTGGCAACAATGGCCAACAAAAAATTCGGTCCAACAAAATTCACTTAAAGCTTACAAAAATTTACAACAATAACAACAAGTATGTTCAAATGTTCGTGTTTATTTTATTACCCAAATTTAGAAAGTCTGCATGAAAAGCAACTCCTTTGTCCTGGCCCAAGGAGTTGACCAAGTCTCAAGAAGAAGCCGTTTGTGTTGCACCCATAAAAATTCTAATTTAAGCAAATAATTGAACATAAAATTTCTAGCCATAAAATGTGGTTACAATTAAGTTGTTACTTCATGTCTCCCCAGCCTGCGACTTCACCACCCTACAAAAGTAATGTCACCAAACAGGGAATAGTGGGCAAAAGTTTGCCATTAACATTACTCAGCATTACTGCCTCTGTATTCTCTCATATTCTCTTCTCGGCACAGAAGGATTTTAATTTCCTTCTTATTTCACATAAGCAAAGTATTCCGGCTTCCAACCTTTCACTTACTTCCCCTCAGCCACCCTTCCTCCCACCTCCCACCTGCCCTACGTTCATGTCATTTCGGTATGCCATAAAATATGCAACAAGTCTGAGAAGTATTTGCACAACCGGAAGCATTTAACTTGCGACAAAGGATGTTGCTTTGGTTGGTTGGTTACCGTTTGGAGGGACCAGACTGATGTGGCAAACGAATATGCAACGTGCGTGAATGTCTGGATTTGTGTGTGTTCGTGTAAATCGTAAATTTTCTACTTACAAACGAATTATTTCCTCAATATTTACTTTGAACATAAACTTAAAGTCCTTTGGGGGTAAGTCTTTCATCTTTCGTGTTACGTGATTTTGTAAAAGTGTATGCGTAACGTCTGAGTGTGTGTGTGTGTGCGGGTGTACGAGTGTAGATTTGTTACAAAACTGTTGTAAGAAACTCGTTAAAGTGTCAATAAAGTTTTGGTATATATTGGCCATGTAGATGGCACCGAGATATTATTAGCATTTGAAACAGTGGCGGATACTCAAGAAATGTGTTTTTTTTTTAATCTACGTCTACAACTAGGTATTGAAAAAAATATTTAAAAAAATCGATCCTAAAAATAGGAAGTAAAAATAAATGTTAAAAAATTTACGTCTATGGTTGGTTGGCGTAGGGGATGATAGATACGAAGCAACGGCTCTGAATGGCTTTAACATGGCGAAGTCCAGGCTTATCTTTGTCCCTCTTTCATCTCAATTGCGGACACTGACCACCCCGTGGTGCCACCTGGGGTAGCTATTTCCATCACCCGATGAAATATTGAGCTAATATGTGCAGCGAGTTCACCCATAAGAACTATAAAAATGGGTTGAGGCGTCTGGTTAGTTGCCCACACTCGGAAAACCCCTCCTATTATGAAAAAGAAAACCAAACCCCCCTAATGTTGTTGACCCCCGCAAACGTATAAAGAACCACGATCTTCGCATATACACTTGGAATTTGCGCAGAACAGGCGCAGTTTTCGCTTTGGCGGATGTACTCAAGAAGTACAAAGCCGATATTATTGGCTTACAGGAAATGCGATGGAAAGGGACAGGCGTAGGTAAATTAGACAATTACACACTCTATTATAGCAGCCACGAAACGAGACGTGAATTTGGCTGCGGATTTATGGTCAACAGGAGAATAAAAGACCAGATTCACTCCGGTAGATGAACGAATTGCTATAATCCGTATAAAAGCGGAAAGAAGATAAAGATGAACAGACCAAAGACATATTTTACGAGCGCCTAGAAACAGCATATGATCGTTACCCTGGCCATGTCATTAAAATTCTGCTAGGAGATTTTAATGCAAACATCGGAAGGAAAATATCTTTGGCCCCATTGTCGGAAAAT